TTCTCCAGTGTTCAAGTCCTAGTACAGATATTATAACAGAAGAACTTACAACTCATTCTTTAGATTTAGAATGCAACAAGCTTTCATTCTGAAAACAGGTTCCTGAGACTACCTAAATACAAGCAACGAGGCTTTATAATGAAGTGCTAGAGAAAATATATGCATTGGCACCATCATATTCATCAAGTTCAGAAACCCTGTTTGATGACATATTTGCTCCAATAATAGAAGACAGAGAGGCGTTGTGGAACTTGCTGTCCTGCCTCACTGGTCCAGAGGTAGTGCAGTCCGGTGGGATGGGGAGAAATCTGCACCACTCACTAGCTCTGCCCCTCCTCAGGACATGCAGAAGCTGGGTTGTCACCTGGCTTCTCTGAGACACCTTTGTCACACGCAAAATAAATCTAAAGTCATCTATTGAACGAGACCATTTCCCAGGTTTCTTCCAGATCTAAAATGTCATAATTATTAGAAGATGACCAATAGAAAGTCCAAATGGTATTTACGAGACCTTCCCCATATTACCTTACATTCACCTTACATTTATATTATATCTAATTAAGACACTCATAAATATCAATTGAGGGTGCATCATGAACAACCAGTTGTAGATTACATAAAAGAAAAATTGTGCTTATTCTCAGCAAACTTATTAAGGCAAATATTTTCTATAAACACACCCACACATATATACACTTATACTATATATAATTATAATCCCTGTGTAAATGTACATAAGTGTACAATAAAGAACATGTGTCCAATGACACATACACGCATTAATGATGACAACCAGAAAAGTATCTAAATGCAAACTGGCCAAAGTGGACCATATTTTACTAATGGCTAATTCTTCCTTTCTAGGAAACACATGTTCTGTCTACATCTATGCCACATTTCATACCATTTGCCTTTGCACTGACTATCAATTAAAAAGCAATGATATCAACGTACTTAGAAAGATACTGGAGATATTAAATTGCTTCTGAATTTGAAAATTAACTGAATATTTGACGATATTAAGAAATTATTTATAATATTTTAGGAAATAATAATGGTCTTTTGGTTGCAGTTTTTAAAAAGCATATTTATCACTGAAAATTACATACTGAAATAATTATGGATGAAATGACGTGATATGCTTCAAAATAATTCAGGGTGAAGGAGAGGGAAGAAACAGGTGAGGGTATAGATAAAATAAGATTGGCTTTGGGTTGATAACTTTAATGGTGCGTACGTGAGAGATTATTACATTATCCTTTCTACTTTTAAGTATGTTTGGAATTCTCCAAAAAAAAATAATAAAAATTCTTTCTGATGTGAGCTCAAAAGAACACCAATCTTCCAAATAGAAGGCTCTCCAATGTAAGGATTATCTATGTTGCTTGTATTAGTAGTATTTACTGACTATGAAAGAGGGCACAGTTAAGCATGTTCTTCTGAATGTGAATTAAAATATAACCTAAATTAAAATATAACCTATAAATATCTAATGATTTTAGGAAATTTACATTGTATTGTCATGAAATATGTATAGTAAGTTCAAAGAGCTATAAATTGTTATGTTTTTACTTCCTAATCAAAAAGACCAACGTAAAAGTTGGTGTTTTTGTTATGTTAGCTGATTACTAACATAACATAGTAATGTTAGCTCATTACTAACAAATGGATCCATTTAACGTACATTCTTTTAATTATTTCACAAGTGATGAGCAAGTTCTGCAACAAGCTTGGTAAGAGTGAATAAAAAAGGTGGGGCTCCAGTCACACATAACCTATTGTCATTTTTTTTTTCCAGAAATGTTGATTTTAAGCCGTTCTGGGTGAACACCTATTGCAACACATCACATCAAGATGACAGGGAAGGACTCCATCAGGTAAAGGTGTCTCCATTTATCTTCACGAGAGATTCAGACCTTTGGCAATGGAATATTGGTTATCAGGTATTGATGTGACAATAAGATATACGAAATTTCCTGGAACTTTTCCAATTTCAAATATTCTATATGTTGTCTTCATAAATTATACACACATCCCAAAAATTCAAATATTTTCATAACCAAACTATATATAGTCAGATTGTTTCTTATAAGCATAAGTAGGAAACTCCTTTGTCAGACCATGTGTCTTGTTTGTATCTGGAGAATATCATCACTGTATTTATTAGACTCTTTAGTGGCGTGGGGATGGAGTAGCATCTACTGAGCATCTGCTAGAGATCTGGACTACTTCTTCTCCGTGCCTCTTTATCTGGATAATTAATACTTGTCATTTAGGATCAATGGAAGTATCACACCCTCTAGGAAACTTCCCCAACTAGACTGGGGTAGAATTTTATACTCCCCACTTCATAACACTTTTCTTAATTATACTTATGTGATAAATAAATACTTCTGTGATTTTTAAAAATATCTCTCTCCTACTAGACTGCAAGCTCTCAGAGGTCAGAGCCCATGTTGGTCTTGCTCACCACTGTACTTCTAGTCCCGAAGACAGCCTCTAGTGCATTTATTATCAACCCTGGCTGTACCTGAATCTTTAGGTACACCTGGGAGCTTTAAAAAATACTGATGCCTGGACTCCACTGCTAGACATTCTAATACACTCAGTAGGAATGGGGTGGAGGCCAGGAAATGACAGTCTTTGAACACACACAGGGGATTCTGATGGGGAGTCGAGGTTGAGAGTCCTGCCTAATAAAGTAGACTCAATAAACAAAATGTAAGGCCCTCTAGATACCCCCAAAGACTACAGACTATGTATGTCATTTTCACTTGCTAAAACTATAAAATAATTAATGACATTAATAGGAATTTTGATGTGGCATCAACAAAGAGATATTTGGGTTTTCCTAAATATCGAGAAAAGAACAAATTCACAGCTGGAAAGTATTCAAATCCAAGCCAACTAATTCATGACAAAACTATGCTATAAATAAATAAATGTGACCTCTCCATTGTACCTCCTTCTGTGTCAGGACTGTTCCCATGTTACTTCATTTCCTCCTCCTGGAAACCCTGTAAGTATCACTATGCTTTATTTTACATAATCCATTTGGCATCTCAGGCCACTGAGACTGCATGTGCCAAGGTCACCACATCAGCCTCAGTGCTAACTCTAAAGGACACCCCTTCATCTTACTCTTCCTCTTAAAGCCCTTGCTGACCACTCCTCTCCTCTTTGGTTTCGGGACATCATACCCCGTTCCCCTCCTGGCCTCATGAGCACCCCCTTCTTCCTCTCCATTGCAGGCTTCTCTTCTACCAGCCCTGTAACTATAACTCTTCAGGATTGTCCTAAGTTGTCTCCTTTTTTCATCTTCTTGGGTGAGTGCATCAACTCCCAGGGATCATCTATACCCAGACCACATCCAAATCTCTTGCTCTTTAAATCCAACTGCCTACTGGATATCTCCACTTGCGTGTCAGACAACTCCAAATCACCCTGTCCAAACAAAAAAGAAAAAAGTCATTTTTCTCCCCTATGTTCCCTAACTCAATGTGCCATCATCCTAACCAGCTGCTGAGGTCAAACATCTGGGAATCACTCCTCACCCCTTCTCTCCCTCATTCTTCCGTTACCAGGTCCTATCAATTCTAGTTTCTGAACAGCTCTCAAATCCCTGTCTTTCTCCATCTCCACCACCTCCATCCACGCGAGGCGCCTGGACCACCAGAGCAGCCTCTCATCCAGCTTCACTCTTCTGGTCTGCTCCCTCTCATCCATTCACCACACGGAAGCCAGAGTCATCTATTAAAAATACGTCTCACTGGGTCTTTCCCCAGCTTCAAATGCTTACTAGCTCCCCCAGTGCCTTCTAAAGCCCAAACCCCTTGAAGTGGCCACCAAGTCCATCCAGGACTCAGCGCCTCCTAATTCTGGCCATTCTGATCACGCTCTCAGCTCCAGCCACACAGAACTTAGTGACCTTCTCTTGCTTGAAGCCCAGTGCACATTTTACTTTCTCTTCTTGGAATTGTCTTTCCCTTTCCCCTCCTCTATTTCAACCAATATAGATTTCTTTCAGATCTCAAAACATGTGTCATTTCCTTCAGATCTTGGAATGTCACTTCTGTGACCTCAAAACTGCATCGGACACTGTTCCTAAGTGCTATCACGGCACTTGGAACTTCCCAGACTTAGAGAAGAGCGTACTGTCTTCTACTAGTCACTCTCCCTGTTCATCTCCCCCGCTGTTTTGTAAGCCTTGTGTGAGCTAGGCCCCCGTTTGCGATACTGACCAGTGTATCCTTAGCGCCCAACAGTGGCCAGCACATAGCAGGCCTTTAGTATTTGTGGGATGATAGAATTATGCAAACAAAAGTGGATAAACCTGCATGTGAATGTAGCTGCGACTTCTTCCTTCAAACTCACTGCAGGGCCTTTGCAAAGGCTGCTCCCTTTCTCAGGGTGGACTCAGCCCCACAGGCTACTTCTCATCCTTCTAATTCTCAGCTAACATGGAGCTTTCTCTGGGATGCCTTCCCAAACCAGCCGTCTAAAGCATTCCCCTCAGATCTCTGTTGTTTTCCTTTCTATCACTCGTCACAGCTTTGTATTTGGTTAGTTACATGTTTAACTCCATGAAGCAAGGACTGTTTTACTCACCACTGTCTATCTCTACTTGGCCCAGTGCTTGGTACATAGCAAGGCTCAACATATATTTAATGAAATGAGTGGACTACTGCCATTTATCAAGGACTAATATCATTTCCACAACACTATGTTGCTTCCCACAAAAGTTTAACTGTTTCCTAAACCAAACCTTTGTCAATACTGCCAGTCAGTCATAAAAATAGGCACATTAAAAGAGTTTTCTCCATTCCCTGTTCTGTTACTCACTCAGGTATAATCCTAACCAGGGGCAAAAAAAAAAAAAAAAGACAGGTACAGATATCAAGAAAATTAACTAACCCTCCTCTTTAGTCATTAAGCATTTCCAGAATGTGCTATAGTGACAGTAAGGAATGGCATAGTGCACTGGAAGAGAAGAGGCTTGCCTTTCAGGTCTTGGACGTAGCCCTCTTTGCAGCTGTGCATGAGCTGGAGGATCCACCTGTGCTGCGCCCCGATGCACTGCCAAGCAGGGTCACCCGATGCATGGAGGTCGGACAGGTACCTGAAAAGGCAAGGCCAAGGCTGACCGAGCAGGCTTCCTCTGTACAGCCGTAAATGAGGACCAAAAGAAAGCTAGAATGTTTTAAAATCATTACTTTTTTAAGAAAACCTAAAATTTTATCAGTTAGTCAAGCACTTGTAAATATTAGTCTTTAATATTTACTTCTAAATAAAATATACTCAATTTTCTTTTCATGCAATTAACAAACAACAATAAAACTATATTTTTAAAAACTTTGGACTTTATAAAAAGATAACCAAGAAGACAAGGACCACTGGCAACAATCCTATATTCTTAGTGAGAATTTATCTTTATAATTACATTTAGTTCACAGAGTGTTTCTACTTAGTTCTCAGTCATTACAGAAAACACAGGTGGGAACCAGCAGAGGACACCTGGTGAACATTTGTTTGATTTCAGCGGTTTTTGTATTCCTTTGTGTTCTGACACGCGGCCACTAGATGGCAGTGTGACACTGTTTTCTATACAGTCTAACAGCTGGGCAGCAGCAACGTCAGGCCCTTTGACTACATGAAGCGATTTGGTGAAGACAAGCACTTAGCTCTGAAGTCTAAACTCTAATTCTGTTTGAGAAAATATTTCTCTAGAAAATATAGCATACATGGGCATTTTTCTCAGTTTTTAAATAGTTCTTAAAATATTTAAAGTCTTTTTACATAAAATATCCAAACCCAGAGAAACAACTGAAATAGATTTTAGTGGGAAAATTTTTGCCAAATATTATTCAAGATTTGGCCTTTGGCTCTCACAAAAGATATAAATATAATATGTTAAATCCAAGTAATCAATTCCGAAAGTTGAATTTATTGTCTTTAAATTATTCTTAAACAATAAGCTGTCTGTTTTCTTGGGGTTAAAGATTTCTGTTCAACGATAAATTTTAATTAACAGTTACAAGCTGTGACTCTAGCCAAATCTCAATCATTCAGAGGTACATCTGATGCTTCTCTCCCGTGTTTCTCCAGTCCTGGTATTTCCTTACTCACAGCATCTCAATTAGCAGCTAATTAGAGGAGAAACTTGTTTTTTTCTTTTTTTGGTGAGGAAGCTTGGCCCTGAGCTAACATTTGTTGCCAATCTTCCTCTTTTTGCTCAGGAAGATTGGCCCTGGGCTAACATCCGTGCCTATCTTCCTTTACTTTATACGGGACGCCGCCACAGCATGTCTTGATGAGTGGTGCGTAGGTCTGTGCCTGGGATCCGAACCTGCGAATCCTGGGCCACCGCAGCGGAGCGTGTGAACTTAACTACTATGCCACCGGGCTGGCCCCAGAGGAGAAACATTTTGTAGTAAGTTAGCAATAACTAAAATGTTGAGAAGAAACCTGACATCACACTTAGGAGTTATCCACCCTGACCCTGACCTTTACAGGCTAACGGAGACAGCCTGGTTTCTGAGGACAGGTGAGTGTCTGATCATTCTGCAAAAGGGCCCCTTAAACAACAGGGCTCACATGGCACAGGCCGCCGGGGACAGCCCAAGGGCAGGCGCTGCTCCTCCCAGGGACGTCTATTTACAGGCTGCAAAGAGGCTGTGTCTGTGCTGAGAGAACGACAAATCAATAAATAGCCTCCCGGGAAGAAAACTACAATCTAACAAATTACATTTAGCTTGACATAAATAATTCATTTCAAAGCTTTCAAAACCCAATCTGATTCTTCCTCTCACACAAGGGTTTCCTCTTTTATTGTCTGGAACATAAATATGACAAATAGTACATCGTGTCATTTCTTTCCAAAAACATGTGATTTTATTCCTTCTTGCTGGGGATAATTGGTCTCAGCACTCTCCTTAGACAGGTTTGTCCGCCTCCACATACTTCTGCAACACTCTCTCCTGACGCTTTCACTCATAGAACGTCCTCAGATTGGTATTAGCAGGAAAATAAAGCTTTTAGGAAAGCTGCTTCCTTTTAATTTTTAGACTACTGAACAGGAACATAGATGTCCATTACAAGGGCTCTTTCTCGAGCACTACTGTAAGAGAATCAACAGGCTTTTTTGCTTAGTAACTTTTAAAATTATATGTCTCTTTAGTATGTTAACTAGGTCCTTACAAAATTTAATAATAATCCTCTTTCTATCGTTTTATTAATGGGTATTACATTAAAGGAGTTTTATAAAGAAAGATAAATTTGTTCTCTGAGAAATTCTACAGTGTTTCAGTTCAAAAGTATAACCTGTGCTAGGCTTTTCCTTGGTTAAACAACTTAATCCAATAAAATTTCTTCTTCTAGTACGTAGCTAAAAATTAAGTAGTTTAATTTCAAAGATCTTCGTTTAGAATATGATACGTTATTGCTATTTCTTTTAAAACTGCACATCAAAGAATACTTTTTAAAAAGGCTTTTTTAGAGGGAAAAAGGTAAAGAATGTTAGTTACGATGAGCATAGGCTCCGTATTTTAAAATTTAAGAATCATAGTTTTTAGCCATATTCTGACATGATTTTTAACAATTACCAAGGACAGGATCACAGCTACATGGAAAGAAGTATATGAAACTTTGCTTCTTGCTAAAGCTACCAGCATCAAGGCAGAATAAGGAGACTGAAAATAATCACAAAGTCTGTAAGTAGACAAAATAGTGATCAAAAGTAAGACAATACAGTAGTAATGTGGTTTTCACTCAGACCGTGCATAACTTCGATTATGTAAGAGAACAAATAGAGATGTATTTCTGTTGATGATAAAGCTGCCTCTACCCCCGAGTGGTGTTCACAGTACACATCATCATAGATTCCAAAGTCCACCAGACACTTGACCTGGTTGTGATGTTATTTTTTCCTACTTATTAATAATTAAAAACCTCAACTTAAACAGGATAACAGGGCCGGCCCTGTGGCTTAGCGGTTAAGTGTGCGCGCTCCCCTGCCAGCGGCCCGGGTTCGGATCCCGGGCGCACACCAACGTACCACTTCTCCGGCCATGCTGAGGCTGCGTCCCACATACAGCAACTAGAAGGATGTGCAACTATGACATACAACTATCTACTGGGGCTTTAGGGGAAAAATAAATAAATAATAAAAAGAAATAAACAGGATAACAGAATTGTTCAGTGTCTTCTCAAGACATCAAAAATAAAATGATTAAAAAATAAGTAAACTACTTGACATTCTTGTTCTTTTCCCCTTAAAATGTCAGAAAAAAAAGCATTTAGGGGGCCAGCCCAATGGCGTAGCAGTTAAGTTCATGTGCTCCGCTGCGGCGACCACAGGTTCACAGGTTCAGATCCCGGGCAAGGACTGATGCACCACTTGTCAAGTCATGCTATGGTGGCATCCCATATAAAGTACAGGAAGATGGGCACAGATGTTAGTTAGCCCAGGGCCAATCTTCCTCAGCAAAAAAGAAGAGAATTGGCATCAGATGTTAGCTCATGGCTAATCTTCCTCAAAAAAAAAAAAAAAAGGCATTTAAATAGGCCATTTAAAAGAATCTTTTTTAACACCCACCATCTTTTAAATGATATCCAGTAGGTTAACTAGTTATAAGAACTGCACATTAGTTATCTATATAAAGGGCAATTCACTACATAAAGAAATCATACACTCAATACGGTTTACCATATTACTACTGGCAAATTTAATAGAATAAATGTAAACAGGTAAATACAAAGCACAATTAGTGAAGCAGCACAGTGGACCACAGACAATAAGACGCTAACTAGCTGTGTATCCTAGTCAAGGGGATTAACCTTTCCAGAACTGTTTCTTTATATCTTTAAAAAAAAAAAAAAAAAAAAGGGCAGTTGGGTAACTGACATGTTATTCATCTCCAGCTTTAAATTTCTACGATTCTGCGAGCCAGAAAAATTCCCCAAATACATTCTTTCCTACGGAGGCAGCTAAGAGAAAAGCAAAGACAGGCTTTAAATCCAGACAGACAGGAGTCCTACACCCAGCTGTGTGTGCTGAGCAAGCAATAAGGTCCGGGACGCAGGTTCCTCACCTGTACAACGGGTGTAGTACACTGCCCCACGAGGCCGCTGCGAGCATCGGACACGAGGCACCCAGTGCAGGCAGCACGGCGCCTGGGTGCGCAGCAGACCTCGGAGTGGCCGCAATCAGCTTTAGTGCTCTCCACTCCTCTGGAAAAGCCTCCTCTCCCTTTCCTCTTCCCACACGACACGACATGCAGTGACAACAGGGCACACTCCGACTGTGCTCCTGCATCACTAGGAGCCTCGTCCCCTCCACAACTACAAACACAGCAGCTTTCAGGCCAGACCCTCCTTCCATGCCTGGAAGTTCTTTTCAATGGTCACATGGTAACAACAGTCAAATCCATAAATACAGTCTATTATCATTTTATAACTACTGAATATTCAATAAACTTCACTAATTAAAGAGGCAGGGCATTAAGTTTGGAAAATAACAGTTTATTCTGAGAACAAAGGCCACATTCAAAATATGTCTGCAAAAAATAAAGTTAATATTTTTAAATCATAGCTTATAATTTATATGCTTTAATTATCTCCAAATCTTGGTATAAACACAAGATATTTATGTAATTTATTGACTACTTATTATGTGCCAGGAGCTGTATTAAATCCTTAAATGTATTCCTGATTATCTCTGCAACTACCCTGAGACATAGATTGTATTGTCACGCCCATCTCATAGACAAAGAAACCAAAAGAGAGAACTCCAGTGAGTCGTCCAATGGAACAGCCAATCACACTATGCTATACTGCTTCCTTCTAAGACCGTTCTCGTCAGACCCTGCGATGTCCATCGCTTTTAATATTACTGGTGGTTTTTCTTTTTAAGTATTCCCACTTTCTTTTCAAGATTAAAACCTTTCAGGATTTTCTGTACTGTTGTGCCGTGGCCCACTCTGTGGCATGAAGAATTTCCCACCCAGAGTGTGACAGTGTTGCACTCTAAACCACACAAGGAGCCCCTGATCTGTGGCTGGTGGATGTCCACAGGGCGCAATACCCACACCATCTCGCCAGAGTAGGTAAGCCATTATTGACCAGGAGGAAGAAGGGGCCAAGTAATGAGGTTACTTTTCCTTCCCCAACTCGGGCAGGATTTTCTTGTCCTTAAAGAGTGAGTACTCCCAAATTGATTAGTAAACAAAAGAATTTTGGTGTCCTACACTAGATACTCCTAAATTTCTGCTATTTGTCCTCCCTTTCACCATTTCATCAATCTCCTAATTTCCCCCAAATTAGCTTTAAGAGTTAGATGATGTACCTAGTACTATACAGGTATATATAAGATTTGTCAAAAATTCTGGCAGGTTTACCTTATATAACGTTTTTGGTCATGTAAGGTCGATGGCGTCTCAAGCAATTTATCCAGAAGTAATTCTCTTAAAGCTTCAATCCGTGTTTCTACTTCAGCATAATCTATTAAAAAAGGAAAGAATATATAAGATTTACAAAGTGGAAATTTAAAATCAAATTGTGGAAAGCAGAACAGTAGTTGCCTTGGCGCTCCAGGGGCTGACTGAGAAGAGGCACAAAGGAACTTTCTGGAGTGATAAAAACGTTCTGGCTAGGGTGTGCGTTACATGGGGTGTGCATTTGTCAAACTCACTGACCTGTGACGTGTAAGGTCTGTGCATGTCACTGCATGTAAATTTACCACAATAAAAAATAAAATAAGTTTTCTGAGCTCTTATGGAATTCATTTACAAATTCTATAAGCCCTGTGATATTTCTCCTAGTTGATAAGGCATTACTGTAAGGCATATTAGGCTTTTCTTATTTTCTGTAACTCTGGCATTAGAGATCATTTCAAAAGTGGTTTAGTTTACTTTAAAGTAGGGTTAGAATTCATAAATATATTGGTCTTTTTGAAGAGGGAAGATTAAAATGTAGGTTTCCATCTCTATAAAATATCTGTAATTGATTCTTTCCAGTTAAAAAGGTTTTTTAATAGCATCATGTGTTAACGAGCAGCAAAGAATGTCCAAGACTAAACCATCCTCTATTCGTGGCCATTCATTTTTACTACATCTTAGTAGGAAAAGCCATAATGTTGTTTTCGAAGTAACTGTTTGCATTTTAAAAAGCACCACATAAACAAAAACTAAAACTCAAGTAACATTCTTTGCTGAATACATTCCACATTCTTCCTGTAAAAGGAAAGTAGAAGATCTAAAAGTAATAAACAAATCTTACATTTCTTGAAAACTTGCACCTCCGTTTTCCCAAAGAGTGACTTGGCCTTTTCATAATCATTAATAACCACATCATAATCACCCTTTAAAATAGAGAAACATTGTGGAAACTGTCAGTAAAGTATAATGAAGACATTTGGTTAAGATAAAAAACATCTTAACAACTCTCTAAAATTTATGACATCTATAACCATAGGTACATAACTACGCACTCTACCTTTTGAATATTCCTTTCAATATTTAGAGGAAGGTTGAAAAGAAACTTGAATCGCTGAAGCACATTGAGTGCATTTCTAGTGGAATCTGCCTTGTCCTTTCGACCTAATACTTCTTGAAATAACATGTCCGCAGTATTACTTGCTCCTATTTTAAAAGAACAAAAAGAATGTAGATAAAAACTGATTTTAGTCACAAAATGTGTAACTGGGCAAAAGAAACAAAATGTTAAGACTACTATTGTAGCTTTATGTTAAAACAGATTTTTTTTAAAAGTTAGCTATACTGGAGATCTTTTAATGGTTTACTAAATACAATTTCCATTTTGCTTGCTTAGTCTTTTCATATGTTAAGAATGGTATCCCATTAAATATAACCATATTTACCAAGCCCAAATAAATTCTCTAACGTGAACCTACATTTATTTTAGCTACTCTTCTAAGTTTTATAGCAATTCTGGGTCCTAAGGTTATTTCATTAATTCAGGTCATAGGTTAAAACACACACATACATACATGCATACACACATACATACTGACTAGTTAAATTATCTGGATTCAATATCTACATATGTGGTAATAAACAAAACAAGAAACACATTTTTGAGAAAAGTTATTCTACAAGAAATATTTTAGAACTAATCCTATTTCTTGGTGAAATTATCTCTTCATGTAGCCGGCACAAAAAATTACATAAGCAATTTAAAATGACAAAATTTAACATATCATTAATTAGTATTTCTTAAATCAGCTAATTCCTATAAAATTATACACAAATTGGACATTTTCTGTATATACATTTTTTTTTACCTAAAAGACCTCAAACTATATGAATTACAGTTGTGCAAGAGTTGCTTTATCTAAAGCAAAATTTACTATGTACAAAAATAGTTAAACTTTTTCACCTTGTGAATTATTTTTAATTAGCCACCAGGAAAGGGGAGAAAAAGGATAAACTGTTTTCCGCTGTTTGATCGCTGCTCATAAAAAGTTTCTGCGTTATCTGGTCTAGTGACTGCACTTGAAGCAAAGACGAAGAAATGACCTCAGCCTCACTGGGTGGTGTGCAGGCCACATCTCCAGTCTACACTGTGGGTGGCCTGATGATGTTAAAAGTCGTCTTTGTAACAGAATTGTTTTATCTAAATAATGTTTAAATTCTGTTGAAATTTTAAAGGCCTGATATAAAAACTTTATTTTGTCAAGATAGCCGTTTTCACCACATGCTGTTTAATGTAGAATACTAAATCTCTAAGATGAGAAAAAATACATTCCTTTCTTGCCACCAAACCACACAATGGTGGCTAACTAAACATTTGAAATCTGATGAGAGTTAAAACTTTTTTTCGTCAAAGAAAATTATTATTATTTGTTTATCATTTAAAAATATAAATTGAGGCTTCATAAATGAATAGATACATAAATGGGATTGAATATTTTAAAAGGTTGATTACTTATGTGTGAGCTGTGGATGTTAAATCCCCAAGCACTTTTTTTTTTTTTTGGTACAATGAGGGAATTTGCAACAAAAAGTATAAAAGTTCAAAATTAGATTTTTCTCATCGTATTTTAAAGGTAATAAAAAAATACCAACTAATCATTTTAACTCCTCAAAAGTACAAAAACAAGTACAGGTAGAAAATCCACTTACAATTAAATTAAATATAAAGGTTTTACAGAGAAAAATTTATAGGCAGAAATTATAAACTATAAAATTATAATCTATACAGAAATGTATGTATAAATGGAGAATTTTAATTTTTGCACACGGATAAATTATAATTTTAATTTATAGATAATTTCTGTCCATAAATTATTGTTCTGTTGTGAATTTTATGGCATTTACAATAATATTTTAGGAGTTCATAACTCTTTGATAACTGGATGATTATATCCAGTAATAAAATAAATGAAAGCAAGGAAACCAACATTTGTGCAAGCAGATAAAAATCCCTAGCAGCTCACAAAACGCGTTTTATGTCTCTATTCTCTAGGGCCGCTAACGAGAAAATGAAACCACTACTTGGGTGTTGTTCACAGGCAACACGAAGTGGCAGATGAGCCATCAGTCAGGCATGGGCCAGGTCTCCCAAGAACAATCCTCCCAGCGCACCAACCATCCCCCCTCACTCCACCTTCTCACATTGAGAACATTCAATTTTCAAGCTGCTGGCAGGGTCTGAACATCCAGTGTCTAACCAGAGGACAAATCCAACTGGACCACATGGTCGTGAAAACCATAACTTTGCTCTTACACGTTGCAGAACAAATCCTGACTTTCATCTGCCCTGGGCAACCTGGACCTGAAACTTGGTCCTTTCCCCTCACCAGGAGACTGTCTCAACATCAGCTCACCAGACAGCGACTGTCATCATGCACCCCGAGCTCTAACAGCAATGCGGCTGTAATGACACTGTGGCTGCATCGCTGTAGCTGGGCCAACAGAGCAGTAAAATTTTCCTCAGTGTACAATGGGACATGGATGGACCTTGAGGGCATTATGCTAAGTGAAATAAGCCAAGAAAAAGGTAAATACTGCATAGTATCACTTATATGTGGAATCTAAAAAAGCCAAACTCAGAAGTAGAGTAGAATGTTGGTTACAGGGCTGGGGGCTGGGGGAAATGGGGAGATGTTGGTCAAAGATACAAACTTCCAGTAAGAAGATGATTCTGGGGATCTAATGTACAGCATGGTGACTACAGTCAACAGTACTGTATTATACACTTGCAAGTAGCTAAGAGAGTAAGTCTTAAATGTTCTTACCACCAAAAAAAAAAGGAATTATGTGACATAATGGTGTATCAGCTAATGCTACAGTGGCAATTATATTACAATATATAACTGTAACAAATCAACACGTTGTACATCTTAAACTTACACAATGTTACAAGTCAATTATATCTCAATAAAGCTGGAAAAAAAAAGATAGTAAGAAAAGTCACTGTAGCCACGCACAACGACCAATCAAACTCATACCTGCCAACTGATCTTATATCCTTAACAACAACAGAAATTTTAATTGTCAGGAACTCCTGTCATCTAGAAAAATCAGTCACATAATTCTAACAGTGTCTTATAATTTCAAGCATTTTATTTAAAGTAAAGATTATGCTTTCTCTTATTTCGAAGTGATCTTATTGGCCCTTTTCCTGGCACTGACACTTGAGACAGTCCATCACAGGAGTCATTATTAACCTCTGCTCTCTGCTTGGCGTGAGGATGGGGGGACGAGGGGTGGGAGGAGTTCCCTCCCACCACACACACACAACACAATATATCCCAGGAATAGGCAGGTTGAACGAGAGTAGAAAAGGAAACATTAAAGTACTTGGAAATTTAAGGTAACCTGAAAATGTATACTTAAATTCAAATTCAAACCAAGACCACAAAAGACCTAACAACCTGCTGTGTGTGTCTCAGTTTCTCTTAACAGGTTCCAGAAAAGGACTAGCTAGGCTGCCATCTATAACATAATGATATTACATGAACAGCATATTACCAACAGTAAATGCTTGTTTGCAGAGCCATGCCTGACACTGGAATTCTAGAGCACCACATAAAGGGCAAAGAACGGAATCCTGGGGTGAGAAAAGAGCAGAAGTTGGCTCACACTGCTCGCAAGAGCCAACTCTTTCCATCTCTTCTCAACTTCAGCTCACTAATGTCAAGTTGGTAGCTTGAAATCAACCATGATGGGAGAATTTACACATTGGAAATGTTAATATTAGGGTTAGTTTTCTTTTCTCTTTCTTTTTTTTTTGGAAAGCCAGTTGTTAAACATTTACCAGCGTACCACTGAGTAAAAGTCAGTTCCTTTTTCACAAACTTGACTCTTACTGATATTCTTTAGTGTTTTAAGTCCTTGGCTTTCTTCCTTTAATTTTACACATAGTAGTTGGGTGAAATCATTCAACTCCTGTTACTCCAACTACCATCTCTATGCTGCTGACTCCCAAATCTATATCTCAAGATGTGTCTGTGAGCTTAAGAATAATCTTTACACATATTTTTACTAGACATACAATAATTTTTTTTTATGAATTCACCCAACACAAAGAAGTCTTTTATTCTGAGTCATCCTAAGGATGAATTCCTGTTTTCCTGGGGGAGATCATTCAGTCAGCCCTTGCTGTTTTATCAAAGTGACCCCATGAGAGCACTTCGTGTGACATCCAGCATCATCCTATAGGACCAACTTCATCCCTGAGAGGAACCCTGAGGATTTCCCTTTGAATGAACTCTGACAGCTGAGCGGAGAGTAATAATCAGGAGCACATCAGCTTTCGGGGGCTTGGGGCATGGGAAAAGGACCCCGAGTCTAGACAGATGGCTGGTCAGGCTTCATCCAGAAGGACAGCGGAGAAAAGATCCCCGGGTGAACAATCAACTCTCAGACCCTCAGTTCATCCACCTTTGGGAAGAGCCAAGGAAGTGGAATGAAGAATAAAGATGCCATGGAGGGAGAAAAAACGTTTTGGCATCTATGGGTCCCATATAACCTAAAAAGAGTTTTGGGAAGCCTTTGTGGGTGGCATAGAGACACAGTAGACATACCATATCGAGCAATTACTTGATGCTAGGTGCTATTCTAAAATTTTAATATTAATTCTTCTAAAATCTTCTTAATTATTCTAAAAATATGTACTAATTCTTAATTCATTTAAGCTTGCTTATGTCTCCATAAGACAGGACTATTTTTATCCCCATTTTATAGTACAGGCAACTGAAACACAGAGAAGTTATTCACCTTGCTCAATGTGACACAACTAGGAAGTAGTGACAACTAGAAAGATACTCATGGACACAACCTTTGGGAACCTCAAACTCAACATGCTATAAGTTAAACATGTTGAATTTTTTCCTCTCTATTCCTCTCCTTATGCCCCAAGCCTGCTCCTTCTCCCTCCATTTGAGGCCAGAAATCTGGAAGTCATCACTGACTACTTCCTTTTTCTTACTTCCCACATCAAACCAGTAGGCAAATAGTGCCTTTCTCATCTCCTTAACATCTCTCATCTGCCATTCACTCTAACTTCATCACTTCTGTTTTGATTAAAAGTCCTCAGCACTTCACTCTTACAACTGTACACTTCTATCTGGTTTCTCTTCTTGTCTCTAGTCAAGCTCCCTTCTAATCCATTCTCTATACAGATGGCAGAATGTTCTTTAAAAACTTCATAATATCACTTCCTTATTTAAAATCCTTCAATGGCTCACAAACAGTCTCCAAGATGAAGACAATTTCCACAACACGACATAAAAAGCTTGTCCTGAGCAGACCCCCATCTACCTCGCAGCCTCACCCCTCCCTTCTGCACACTGGCCATACTGGTTCCTGGGCTGCAGTCAGGCTCCACTCTGAAGCCGGTGCCTTCCCCCTCATGCTGCTTGCCCTGCCTGTATCAACTTAGCTGCCCACCTGCCAACCTCTGCTTGCCTGGCTACTTCCTACTCCTCCTCTTTTGAGGCTCTCACGACCCTCCCCTGATATTCTCTCCACTCCACTTTTCAATTAGGTGCTCCTTGTGCAGGCTCAAGATGCACCCAAGGATTACTGCCAGCAGAGTATTACCACACCACAATTTAATCACCTGCTTATTTGTCTTCATTTTGCATTAGATTATAAACTCTTAGAAGTAAAGCACAAGTTTTACCTTCATATCCCTGGGACAGAACTAACATGTGCTCAGTAAACGCTTAGAGAACAAGGATTAAAAACCAGCCTCTGAGTCAGTGCCCAGTATTCTTTCTACTTAGAGGAGTGGTACAGTACAGTACAAGCCTCACTTTGCATGGTGCACAGGACCACACAAATGGCCGTGCAAGCTGAAACTGAGCAAACAATCTTAATTGGTAGGAAAATTACAGCTGTTCTGTGACTTTTAAAAATTTCTGTTGAAATATTCAAAACTGTCCACATCCCCATTGTCAGCTACTTTTTCTGTGACTCCATCATGTTAGATTTGAATTTCACTTTCATCTTTGTAGGCCAATCCTCTCTTTCGATTCTCCATTTTTGTAAAATGCCATGTGAGTTTAGGAGGCCACACAACCACACGCTTTGCTGTCTATGCACAAACTGATACCAGGTGTGCAATGACCAGTCACCAACAAACTCTGAAGGAAGAGACGTAGCTGGTCACGACCATCCTGTGCATCTGTTATTTATGAAGTGATGTGTGGACTGAAGAGCTAGTAGCCAAGTTTGCACTTTATGCAATTATGGCAAATATACCATGATAACTGACATCTGAACTATGGTGTTGGGGTCGACTGTATTTAACTGCCCTGTGGTAACTGAAATTCATGCATGTCAAAACCAGGCACGACAAGGCCCGTCTGCAGTTTAAAGCACAAATTTGGAGCCAGATTTATACATATAAATCCCAGCTCTGCCACTTACTACACATATGACTTTAGGTAACTCATTTAGTCTTTCTTGGCCTGTTTTTTCATCAACAAAATGGAGATAGAACAAAGCTCATTAGTTATTGTGAGGACTAAATACACACAGAATGTTTAGAGTAATAGCTGACCCTTAGTGAGCACCGCAACAGTTTCAGCTGCTACTACCACCACTGCTGCTCTAACACCTGCACTCCATGTCTACACCTGCACTGTCTAATACAACAGCTACCAGCCACAGGGGGCCATTTCCATTTAAAGTTAATTAGTTAAAATTAAATAAAAGTAAGAATTAAATTCCTCAGCAATACTAGCCACTTTTTAAGCGCTCAATAGCTACATTTCCATCATCACAGAAGTTTTATCAGACAGCACTATTCTATACTCTTGGAATAGGTAAGAACATAAAAATGGATAACTGAATTTGACATAAATTATTAGTCATTACTTGAAGATGCTTTTTCAGGATTTTGGTCAATGACAACCCTGGCTGCTGCCTCCACGCTTTTCTATCTTTGACGATGCTATTTATATACTGGTCTCTTTTATGGTAGCAAATTTTACTTCTTAAGAAGTATATTGGCTTGTTTTCAAATTATGATTTCTCATAAATAAAATGCAAACAGAAACAGAACATTCATTTTCAACGTTTTTATTCCCCTTTATGTTCATTAAATCATTACTATTTAGAAATAAATACTAAAATGCAACTTACTGTCTTGTTCTGTGAAATCAGGTCCAAGAACTATATTAAAGCTTGTTATTAAGTCCATAAATAGTTTTGGGTAGTAGGACAAAACTTACTGTTCAGAACATTCTCCAGTTTTTGCGTCATGGATCCTTCTACTTTTTCCGTTCCATCCGCTTCTAGTTTTTGATGGATGGCTAGAAAAAAACCATCTAGTTAAAATGTAGCCCATTTTAATGGGTGGGAATGCATGTAATTTTTAAACAGCTTTAATAAAAAATGGTCATATTATTTTCACTGCTGGAAAGAAGCACAAACATGCAAAAACTGTGCACAAACTCTGCAAAGTAACCAACCAGCAGACATCAGTCTAGTCTAAGTTCCTCACAGCTTAACACTATTAAACTAGTATATAACACACATAGTCATCTGATCATCAAAGTTGAGTAGTAAAAACAGTTGAATTACACAAGAAAAGTGAGACTTAAGTAACTCATATCTTTGCTATCTGGCCACAGGAAAAGTCATTCTTATTTCTCGGTTTCACCATCTGCAAAATAGAAATCAACCTCAAAATATTTAATTTTAGCCCTGGGATATAACATGGCAAAATACACATTATTCACGTTCTATTCATTCCATAATTATTTCCCTGGAGGTTCCCAAGAAATATCTAGTAACATCAACTGCAGATGTACAAATTATATTGGAGTTTTTTGCTATTATAGATACATGTCTGCATGGTTCTGATAAAGATTATTAGGAAATCACTTAATTTATATTTACCTACTGAAGAGGGAAGGTTTTAACCAGCAAATCAGGCTTACTTAGGTGAAGCACTAAGAAAATTTTCAAAATAAAATGGCCAAATACAATTTCAAATTCCAAACTGTAACATAATAAAAACAGCAAGGCAAACATTAATTGAGCCATGACCATAAGCTAAGCACTATGATAAGTTTCTAGAGCATACGGATCATCTTGTAAGAAGCCAATGTATGTTCTAATATTATTTCTATTTCATAGATGGGAAAACCATGGCTCAGCGAAATTAAATAAATTGACCAAGGTCACAAAGCCAAACCCAAAATTTGAACTCAAGCAGTCTGATCCCAGAACAAAAAACCTCACCCCATACCGTCCACATTACATAGGCAGGCAACTTAAACTGCCTAAGCTTCTGTTTTCACATCTGTAAAATGAGAATAATAGACTTATTATGCCAGTTGGGAACTGCATTCAGTTGCCAATAAAAGAGATTTCTTTCCAAAATAATAGCTGCTAAAACACACAGGATTTTACTCTTTCACATATCTTGCTCTAGCAAAAACTCAAATACTCAAAACTCCACGGGTTTCACAGCCAGTATGCTGAAGTTAACGTCACTCTTACACATTAGCTATTCTCTACCATTCAAATAGAATGTCAAACTCTTTCTTATTTTGCCTCAACCCAGCAGTCATGGGTTGCAGATTTATGGGAGAGAAATAAAAAGTCTGTCTAGGCCAAAAAAAAGATGTATGTTTCTTTAATCAATTACAATTTGTTTCCCTTAACTCATTGGTTAGAAAATTCTGGGTCAAATTCAGTGCTCAAATGCACTATAACATAACATATTCTCAATACATGCTAACATCTATTTCTCTGCTTCTTTTAATTAGTTTCTAATCCTGATCTTGTCCTTTTTTGTAAAGCAACCTCAAATTTTGTTTGAAATTCTAAAATAAATAAACTGCTTCTCTGTTGAAGAAACACATTCATAGAAAGAAAAAGAAACATATTTGGGGGAAAAAATTAGCCACTAGATTTTTAATTGTCTTGGTTGATTCAGGAGTGAAAAGAAAGTTATTTCTTTAATGTTTCAAATTTGAATTATGTGGTAATGGTGACATACAATGTTTCCACATATAAAAGCCTAAACTTAACTTGAACTTGTTAAGTTAAATGGAAACGAACTTCCGTATCTTTAAGGAAAGGAGATAAAAATACCCAAATATTAGAAAGAGAAACTAGAAAGACTTCTATGTTCTGTGCAACCAAATCTGCTCACACTACTTATTTAAATGCTGCTGTGATTTTCTGACAATCCTGGCTGCAAAAGAACACTCAGCACATGCTGCATTCTATGAAGCAGGAACTGCGTGTGGTTTGTCCAGGACAATAAGACGTCACATCTCATAGTAGCCCTGCCTCGAACCCTACTTTCTAAGTCAAAATGAGCATTAAAGGAAATCACGCAACCACATTTTCTGTTGCTGACAAAACCCATCACTGATCAGCAGGTCAAGACGAGGTGAGCCTGCCTCCCCCAGCTCAGTTTACAGACCTTTTTTGCTGACAAAGCAGCTTCCTGCCGCCCATCTCCACCACAGCAGAGCCACTCTCAAGCTGTCAGCCAAGTATGAGGACCGAAAGACACTGGGATCTGATAAAGGCAACCCTATTTTCCAGAAAATTAAACCAAATAACCCAATGTCTGGTTCACTAGACCTTTTATTTTCTCTGAAAACATTTTTAAATAGTATAACTCAATAAGCAACTTGGTACATGATCACAGGTTTGTTATTATTTCTAATCTATTAAAACTTAAATATGTGAAGCAGTTGAACACTATAAATTTATATTTGGGAAACAAAAAAAAGCATGTATATAAAACTTCTGTTCAAAGAAAAATCAGAGTTGTAGAAAGACTGCCCATTGTTTCACTGACATTAGTTGTTTTATTTCACTCTCTAATCAAATGCAGACATCAAATTTGCAAATTTTAATCAAAAAACTCATAGTATCTGTTCACACATTTATATACTGCCACTATTCAGTGAGGCACTAAGCAATGACATGTGTACACGCAGTACCTGCAGGGTTCAGCGTCAGGCACACTGTGACCTCCATACTTAACGTCTGTGTGTTACTACCCGCCTGTGTGGGACAGGAAGATTCAAACTAGGTCAGAGATTGGCAAACCAGTTCCATAAAGAACCAGACAGCAATGAGCTTAGGCTTTGTGGGCCACATAGGGCCTCTATCATCGTTCTTCTGCTTCTCCTTTGCTCTTTTTTTCTGAATAACCCTTGAAAAACACAGCCATGTGCAGCTCCTGGATCGTATAAAGACAGGGCATGGCCTAATCTGACCCACGTGCCAACCTCTGAGGATAACAGTTACTAAAATAGGAGACTAGGAAGGGTTAGGGGGAGATGTATTAATAATTTGAATTTATAAAGAGCTTTTCAAACATTTAGTTTCTACTTCTTATTCTACCAAATTTTTATCAGAGGGCTAAATCATATATAAATTATATTTAAATTGGTTAGGTAATTTGTGAATCATTTCCTTCCTCAGTTACATTGAAAAAAAACCCATAAATAATAAAATAATCACAACTACTACGTAGAAGACTAACAGGTATAAAGGATTATCACGTAGATAACTGAGTCCTAGATAACCAAACCTGCCTAGATTATCTTCATACATCAACAGACACTAACAACAGAATATGCCAAAAAATCAGTTATGGCTCCCAGTACCTGGAGTAGCAGCAATGAAGTAACACAGGAGGGCAGAACAAGCATGAACAACATGTGTTACTTACTCTGCTTTGGCCTCTCTACTTGGGTATTCCTTATTCTGGTATATCATAAAAAAGAGTAAGTCACACAGTTTGGGCCCACAGTTCTCAAAAGGATCAAGTGATAATGCTGAACTTGCCACTAACAAACAAGTGATTGACTATACAACTGACAAGCTCAAGGCGCAGTCAGGGAAACGGTCACTGAAACAAAGGTGACAGTCAGAAGGCACTGAGGAACTGAAAAAGGCCTTTAAGGTTATGAGAAGCTCCACAAATATCACCGCCACATGGGAGGACTGGTGTGAAAAGGATCTGGTGAGAAGCCGTGGCTCATCAGGACTTCAAGGGATCAGAAGACAATGGCAGCGTGACCGCCATGGAAAAGTGAAATATGGTGCTGGGAATATTTTTGCACAATATAGTAGAGAAAAAAACTATTACAAACACACTAAGGTTAACACTGGCAAATTAGTTATGCCAGACACACTTCTTGTCAAGTTCTAATTAAAATACTCATGGGTACATACATGAAAAAAGGATACTGACAAGATCATAAAAACCGAAAGATAAATAAAGGCCACACAAGAAGGTAACAGCCACTAACTGTACACCTGATTGGGATGGACTGAAACAAACATGCTTGGACTGCATATGGCATAGTCCACTCAATCCAAGGCAAGAACCAGATGGTAAGAAACAGAGCAGACAAAGGCATTTATTTATACTCTGTCATCTCTATCTAGCCTAAGTCTGTAACACAAGGGTAGCACACACCAGAAACATCTTCAAATTTTTTCATAACTATCTTCAGGACTATAGTTCTGCTCCCCCATCTTTCTCACCTCCAACAACTCCCTTCCATTTACAACCATTTAGAGACTACATTTCCCAGCACCCAGCATGGCAGGAAGCAGGAGACCAGCAGTAGCATCCTACTGCTGGGCAACTTAGCAGTTGAATGAAAGAAGGAGGGTGCTGGGCACCACACAGGGCAGCAGGGAGAAAGAGCAATATTTTATACAGGCCACTGACGGACAAACCATAAATGATACCTGATATAACAAAAGAAAAGGGCTAAAAACTGAAGATATGAGTTTACAGATTCTAAAAGCTAATCAAGTGTTGGGTAAAATGAGCAAAAACAAGACCTACATTCCAACATATCCTAAAAAGGTGTTTTTTTTTTAAATGCAAGGCTAAACAAATATATCTTTTAAGCATTTAGGTAGAGAGAAAAACAATTCATCCACAAGTAATAAAGAATTACGTTGGCTTAGGACTTGCTCTCTGCAACACTAAAAGACACTGAACTAATGTTTTCAGAAAATAATTCTCTTAAAGCCAAATGGTTGTTCAGGATTGAAAGCAAGAGTCATTTCCAGATATGCAAGAATTCAAAAAATATAGCCCACAGTTCAAAACAAAAAATTCAAAGATAGAAAAGATGAAATATAAAATGACTGGCTGGCAGTAAACATTAAAGCAAGTTAAATGTACGTGGGTATATGGCAAATTTTAAATAATTGTGATAAATATGTTATGAAATTAAATGCCAAAAGACAAAAATAAATCTAGAAACAGAATAATGAAATGGAAAAAAAAAAGGTAAAGTAAGAAGCTAGGTCTATAACTTCAGATTAAATTAAGATAAGAAGAAAGGAATGACTATGAGAAATAAAGATGTGCTAAACTGTTGTCATACACAACAGGAGTCAAAAGACAACCTATAATAGGATCCAAAAACATTTCTCCCAAATCTGCAAACAACATGGTCTATACAGCACAGAGGGAAAAATGAAAAACAGAAAATAATACTAAAACAACAAAACAAAAGGACAATAATTTTAGTTATGATAAATGTACATGGCTCAAATTCTTCTATTAAAAGGGAAAGACTGGGGCCCACCCTGAGCCTAGTGGTTAAGTTCAGCACACTCTGCTTTGGCAGCCCGGGTATGGATCCCCGGTGCACACCTACACCACTCATCAAGCCATGCTGCGGTAGCAACCCATATACAAGATAGAGAAAGACTGGCACAGATGTTAGCTCAGGGCAAATCTTCCTCAAGCAAAAAGAGGAAGACTGGCAACAGATGTTAGCTCAGGGTGAATCTTCCTCAGCAAAAGAAAAAAAGGCAAAGACTCAGAACAGTATAAAAAATTAAAAATACTACCACATGTTGCTTACGAGAGAGATGCCAAAATCAAAATTTCTGAACGTTAAAAAGAATATGATAGGTAATATACCCAGGAAATGTGTACAAAACAAAGAGTATAGAATGTTGACATTATGTTACTGTAATTTAATCTTGCCCAAAGAGAGATCTAGCCTTTCCCCTCAGCTCCAGGGAGGTGATCCCTAAGCTCCTCAAACATCTTCCTTGATAAAAATGTCTTTGTTGACTCGGGGCCTTGGGCTCACCAGAGAGTCTAACAATGTGATTTACAGTGAGGGCTTTGGGTCACTCAGCAAGAACTCCACCTCCAGAGGGACTGGAGAGGGAGGCCAGCCACTGGGGCAGTCGACGACATCTATGTGACAGAGCCCCACTAAAAACTCTGGACACCAAGGCTTGGGTGAGAGTCCTTGGTTGAAGGACTCCATGCACACTGTCTCACATCATTACCAGGAAAGTCAGTGCTGCCCACGACTCCACTGCGAGAAGACAACCAAGGCTCCATGACTGGCCTTTCCTGGACCCTGCCCCATGCGTCTTTTCCCTTGGCTGACTTTTATCTTTTCACATAATAAACCACAATGTGAGTAAAACAGCTTTCAGTGAGTTCTATGAGTCCTTCTAGCAAATTATCAAACCTGTGGGTGGTCCTGAGAATTGCCTCTAATTTTGCAGTTATTATTACTACATTATAATATAATATTAATATCAAGACAATCCAAGCCATCAAAAGTTACTAAGTAAACGTGTTTTACATACAAAGAAAAATGGACAGAATCAAAATTAAAGAGGGAGATTTGTCTGGCATGTTTATTATAAATAACCTAGATTTAAATAATGTAATTAATCAGGCACTGATAATACATCAAATGTGCCCCCCCCCCAATTTTACACCTTTGGCACAGTTACAAAAAATTGACATATATTAGACACATTTTCTTTTCATAATACTATAAGACTAGAAACTAACTTAAAAAAAATCCACTACAAATTACTAAATCAAAAAGAAAAATTAAAATTTCAAATTTTAAAAACACAAAAAAGCATCACTAACAAATCAATGTAAATAAAGGAACTAGAACACAAATTAACTGAATTAATAATAACATGAATTTTAAATGATTTAACAATTATAATGCAATGCTAATTAACATGAAAATCTTGATGAAATAGAAAACTTCAGGGAAAAAACAAACTAAAATAAAACGTATAAAGTAGAATTCCAAAAGTGTGCAACTTCCAGTGCCCACCCCACTTGAACCCACTGATCCATCACTTAGAGAGACTATCAATAAGCACAAAGAAAGAAAAGTATACCACCAGAAAATACAAGGCATAGAGTATTTATCAACGATTACCTAACTTCTCTGTTCCCTCTTAGGCATTCATATTTTACTCCAAAAACCTAACTTGTACCTGCAAGGAAAGAGCTGTATCAGATGCACATTTAACTTGTCAGAAGTCAACTATGCATGTTTGGCCCAGGAGGAGAAGGGTTTTAAAAACAATAAAAGAATGTCTATACTTTAAGAATACAAATTTATTTAAAAAAATTAAGTCTGGGCCGGCCCTGTGGCTTGGTGGTTAAGTGCGCACGCTGCGATGCTGGCGGCCCGGGTTCGGATCCCGGGTGCGCATCGAGGCACCACTTCTCCGTTCATCCTGAGGCCGAGTCCCACGTGCAGCAACTAGAAGGATGTGCAGCTACGACACACAACTATCCACTGGGGCTTTGGGGGGAAAAAATAAAATAAATAAAATCTTTAAAAAAATTAAGTCTGAATTTAAGATGATATTGCCTCTCAGTCTACAGTTAGAGTTACAGACACTTACCTATTCAGGTACTTATTTACAAGTGTCTTTGTTTTTACAAAGAAGTGGGCTAACTTTTATTAATATATTTTACTTTTTACTAGATAAACAATAATTTGATTTCTATTAATTAAAGGCAGTTTTAGAAAAAAAACCTACCCAATATCCTTCCCTGAAATGTCTAAAGCTATGCTATTTCTATTTAACACAATTCCCTCACACATAAAGATGACGACAGGGATGGTGAACCGTTAACTACTGTGTATAGGGCTAGCGGGGTGATGGCTGTAAAGAATAATACCTTTTCATCAGTCCTCTCCAAACTAAACACACAATGGGTCACATTTAAAGAAACAGTCACATAGATATTCAAAGAATACCTATGGCTGTAAAAGGATTTTAAAAATTGCAGAATTTTACCCATTGGGATTTAATTTCTTACCAGCCCTGGAGATTGGGCATTGTGGAGAGGCAAAGTAGTCTCCTATTTCACACATATACAATGGGTGAACAAAAGCCTCAGAGACAAATATTTAAAGTGCCAACTCTTCAAAGAGATTCCAGCCTAGTCTGCAACAAATATCTATACTTTTATAAATACAGAACGAATGTCACACCCTGTAAACACTCCACAAGCACAGTGTCAGGTTTCCCTTGCGCAAGTCCCTGCAGATGGCTCTGAGGGTCGCCTTACCTGAGAGGGCATCCTGTGCTTCAAAGAAAGTACTAAGACCCCCTTTCACATACGCCAGACTGCCTTCGCTCTTCTTACTAGCCTGTCTCTTCAGGTTGGTGACTGCCATTTTGAGCTGTTCAAAACTAAAATGAAATAAAGAAACCAAAAGTTTGAGACTCCTAACAAGTAAAAAGAAGTAAGATAATGCATTAACTGTAAAATACTGATGCCTATGTTAAGAAAGATACAGATTGATAATAATATGTAACCAGATGAAAACAAAAAGCTTTCAAATTCTTACCTAGATCTAAACCTTTTACTTACTATGAATGCCAAAATTACAGCAGCTATAAAAGAGTTTTGTAGCCCTCAAATGGTCATTCAGAATATGTCAGACCCGTAAAAAGTAAATATACATGCAGACATTTTTATAACTGACATATATCATATATATGATTTGCCAGGTAAGGAGTTCTGAGTATCATCTCCCTGATGGGAAGACCTAGGTCACGCAGCGGTGGATGCTCTCTAAGGCAGGATCCCCTGTGTTCATTTCCGTGTTCTGGATACAAGCTGGGCCTACTGCCATCCTCACCAAAGCAACGCCCAGTCCTCTGTCATTAGTAGAGAAATTACAGAAAACCTTGGGATCAATGCACAGTTTAAATAACTAAAAAGACCACAATATTTTATCTCTAGGTCTCAAGTAGAGAAAAAATAGGTAGGCCTCTATATTTCAGAAGTTTTATTTCCATTTCAGCTAAGAAAATCTGGCTATAAAACTTTGAATATATTCTTGAGTGCCATGAAAGCCCTACACAGAAAACAGAGATCAATCAGTTCTGACTTACAGTAAAGGAAGAAGCATATCCTTAATGTAAAATGAGAACCATCTTCTACAATGAAAGATTTCAGACATCTGCTTTAAAAATTTATCACGCCAAATTCATTCTCTGTATACACCAACTTCTCCTCATGTTTTCTAGTAATGGTTTTCATCCTAATAGGTGAAGGAAGAATTTCTCCCAAATTCTTGTTAAAACCCAAGTTTTAACAAACTTGGCTATTCAAGAATATAAATTTTAAGCAATAAACCATTCATTTATTCAAACATTTTTACTAAATGTAATAGTTTTAAACCAGTCTTGCAAAAAAGTTACAAACCTGCTCTTGTAGAGAGAGTGGGTACAATGTAATCAGCAAACAAAAAGGAGTAGTTTAATTTGGAAATATGACCTCATCTATTTTTTGGCTAATTTTAAGCCAAGTCTTTGCAAAATGATAAACCAACTCATCTTCTTTGCTCTATGGCAGGGAAAGAGGTGTCTTCTCTAGTTTACACTAGGACTTGCAAGTTTTGTTATTTGAATAGGAAGAGGTCACATTCAGATGCATCAGTTTAGGTACCTAGCTGAGACTCCATGAAGTTTTGATGGGCTGCACAAATAATGAAACATATAGAAACGGTATGATAGTGGGAAACAAGGGTCCTCTAATAATCCCATTTTATAAATAAGGAAATAGATACCCTGACACGTTCATGAGCTCACCCAAAGTCAAAGGGCTCCTAATTGGCAGAGCCACATCTAAAACCCATGCTACTGTATGATCCTATTCGCCACACCCGAGGGAAACAGTTCACAGTCAATAGTCCAACATCCACTAACCTGGTGGTTGAGTGATTCTCTATAAGATACCAGGCAGCTGAAAAATTCTCACTTGTAAAATCAGCACTCATTCCAGGGAATAGCATTTCTAAGTCCTTCTGGGGAAATTTACTTCTGAGGGAGAAAAAAAGGTTTAAAATATAATTCAAGAGCTATAACTACAAAGATGTAACAGACATCCCAGAGTATCCAGTGTAATAAATATGAATAAAAACCACCACAATTATACATACATATGGTACCTAGGTTTGTATGTGTGTACAAAATGTATTTCCTATACCTGAACTGATTTCTTATCATACAAACTTTGACTGGATATATAGGATAGGAAATTAAAGTACAGAAATTACATCAATAAAAGAACATAAGGTTCAAAGAGGCTGAGTTGATACTTTATGAAATCCATCCAAACATGAAATCATTCCATACTCAATAATAAAAATCAAAATTTGGATACACTAAAATTAAAAACGTTAAATCAGGGGTCGGCCCCGTGGCTTAGCGGTTAAGTGCGCGCATTCCGCTGCTGGCGGCCCAGGTTCGGATCCCAGGACGCACCGACGCACCGCTTCTCCAGCCATGCTGAGGCCGAGTCCCACATACAGCAACTAGAAGGATGTGCAACTATGACATACAACTATCTACTGGGGCTTTGGGGGGAAAAATAAATAAATAAAGTTTAAAAAAAATAAAATAAAATAAAAACATTAAATCAGTTTGTTAAAATGCTTTTTGTTGGGGCCAGCCCGGTGGTGTAGCAGTTAACTTCATACGCTCTGCTTCGGCAGCCCAGCTTCACGGGTTTGGATCCTGGGCGCGGACCTACACACCGCTCATCAAGCCATGCTGAGGTGGCGTCCCACATAGAAGAACTAGAAGGACGTACAACTAGGACATACAACTATGCACTGGGGCTTTGGGGAAAGAAAAGAAAGGAAGGAGGAAGACTGGCAACAGATGTTAGCTCAGAGCCAATCTTCCACACACAAAAAAAATGCTTTTTGTTAAAGACCTATATGACAGTTGTTTTAATACATACTAATGCCGAATGATAATGTCTACTGATAAAATTAGATCTAACTACATAGTACTCATATTTACAGTCCACGTCTAGAATAATTTTAAGAAAAGCTTATGATAACAGCCAATACATTACATGTAACTCATTTTCTTGCTATTATTTTTAAAGTCAACTTTTGGATCAATTCATTTATTTATTTGTTCAAATACTAAATAAATATCTACTATAGGTCAGGCTCCACGCTGGAGGTCAGACAGTTGTGTCTGAGAGCAAAAGTAACAGGCAGATGCTGCCCACCAAGGGCCTACGAGCTAGCAGACCTTACTAAAGACCCATCCCTTCATCTATGCAGGATGAAACCCAAGTTCTGTCGTCAAGTCTCTCCGTGATCCAAACCTGCTTATCTCTCAGGACTCATTTCTGCCACTCTAATCTTCAAACCTGAAACTTCAGCAACTTCAAAGGGACTACACTTTCCTGCACACATCATATTTGTTTTTACTTCATGATCTTGCTCTGATCTTGCTGTCCCCTCTGACTGAAATATGTTCCCCACCCCCATACCCTGGATAAGCCCAACTCATAGGGTATGGACAGGACACAACGTTATTTTATAGCCCAGTGTCTCTTCCCTGGAACAAAATGTGGGAAGGTCCAATGACTTCTATTCACTCTCATCTGAGAAAGTCTTAACGCCACATTATTACAAACACAACCTCAACTCAGAAATTAGACAGTCTAGTCCAAGATCCACACTCCATCTTGACCCAAAAGTACTCCCTGCTGGGGCCCCTTGACTTGCAGGCAACCAATCCCCTTAAGCACAACTTACAATGGCCTGGAGCCTGCTCTCCAGTGAGGTGTTCATCTAGTACCAGGAAACACCCTTTCCAAGGCAGACACCTCTACTGTTCACGTGCACTGTTCCAGTGCTCTCAGGTGCCAGGGCCTCTGTCTCAAACTGCAGGGAACACTTTTACCTGGGGGCTCCTTGGAGGCCACACTCACCAGGCCTGACTGAAGAAGAGCACACATTCTGCAAACCTCCCCTTCACAGCCTAGTGCAGCTCTCGCCAAGGAAATCTTACAAATCCTCCCCTTCTCTATGGGCTCCCTTCAACCCTTCATACTCTCTATAGGGCAAGGGATGCAAATAGCAAAATCAGTGCTCCATGATTTCCTTTGTAAACCCTGCACTTTAATCTAGAACTCAACATCTATTGTGTCAGTACCTCAGCCAAGAGGGAAAGAGTCCCACTTTACCTCCCATTACACTTACCTTTCTCGCTATGAAGTTTTCTTTTTTAATTAGGGGGAGAAAAAGAACTGCTTAACACTGTAGTAACAAACACAAAGATGAGATGAGACTTGAATAAGAGATGGACATGGACATGAATCTGGCACCACTTCAGTTCTACTAACTCAAAGACTAAGTCAATCTTACACTTTTCCTCACTGGCTTCAAAAGTTAAAAGATTACAGTCTGAATCTTCTTGGGGCGGAGGAGTGTGATCCATAAGCTCATTGGTCATTTTCACCAGACGCAGTCTTTGAGAGGGAGCTGGAGAACATTTTTTTTTTTAGAAGCTTATTTTGGTTTAGATCCTTCATGCTGATTTAATACTTTACTTAGTAATGAAATCCTGTCACCTTTGAAAGTTTTTCTCATTTTATTTATTTGTACATCATGCCTCCAAGTTAGACCTTTTGGGGAATGTAATGACTGAGCAGAGACTTAGGCTAAGCCCTAGCTAAGTAACTAGGACCCTTCCCTCTGATACACAGAGGCTACATCCGCAGTTCTGTCTTAACTGGTGAGCAGTGTCTGTCTAGAGTGCTGTGTCAAGGACCACATGGCTTTGTCTAAGCTGAAAGAATGGCAGGATGAATTAGTGGGGTCTGTCATCAGTGCTAGGGAGAAGTGCATGTGGCACACCTGCCACTTTTTGGTCAACTTTACTTCTAAACGATACTTACACTGGCATTCTATGTAGTCCTAACACTTCACTTGCTCAGAAAGTTCAATAATCTTAACAGAATCAAAAAGTACTAAAGAATCACCCGACAGCAACCAAATCCCTACTATTAATAGTCTTTACAAATTATTCAACTATATGAAATCCTCATTTAGCAGGGATCAGTTTCAAACTCACAGATTAAAGACCCAGCTAGCAAAAAAGCAGCAAAAAGGACTGTAGTTTTATTTTGGCTGGATGGTTTCCTACCTATAATCGAAGCAGAAGTGTGAAGAGGGGTGGCTGGAGTTAGGAATGACAATATCAAAGAAGGATGTATGACATAATGATAGCAAGTAAAGCAAAAAGGTATAAAATGCAGATGCAAAACACAAGAATATAGCAATTATATGTCATGGTAAAATGGTTAAGACTACACAGTCCCCATAGGTCTGACAGTTAAATCATGCCCAACAATATTTAGTTAAAAAAAAACAACAACTGTATTTGTCTTTCCCTGTCCGGTATAAGGAGATCAAGGTGCACCCATGCTGCTGCAAATGGGAGGATGTCTTTCTTTCTCATGACTGAATAATATTCCATTGTATATATACCACATCATCTTTACCCATTCATCTGTTGAACATTTAGGTTGTTTCCATGTCTTGGCTATAGTGAATAATGCTGCAATAAACATGGGAGTGCAGAGAGCTCTTCAATATCCTGATTTCATTTCCTTTGGACATATACCCAGAAATGGGATTGCTGGATCACATGGTAGTTCTAGTTCTAATTTTTTGAGGAATCGCCATACTGTTTCCCATAGTGGCTGCACCAATTTACATTCTCATCAACAGCGTACAAGGGTTCCCTTTTCTCCACATCCTCACCAATGCTTGTTATCTCTTGTTTTTTTGATAATAGCCATTCTAACAAGTGTGAGATGATATCACATTGTGGTTTTGATTTGCATTTCCCTGAAGATTAGTGATTTTAACAACTTTTCATGTACCTGTTAGCCATTTGTAAGTCTTCTTTGAAAAAACATCTATTCAGCTCCTCTGCCCATTTTTAATCGGATTAGTTTGTTGGGGTCTTTTTTTGTTTTTTTTTGTTTTTGCTATTGCATTGTATGCACTCTTTAAATATTTTGGATATCAGATATCCAAAATCCAATATCCACCTTATCAGATACAGGGATATAAACCCCTTATCAGATTTGCAAAAATACATGGAATACATAAAAAAAGTCAAACTCATAGAAACAGAGATTGAAAGAGTGGTTGCCAGGGACTGGAGGGTGGGCGAAATGGGGAGAGGTTGGTAAAAGGGTACAAACATTCAGCTGTAAGATGAGTAAGTTCTGAGGATCTAACATATAACATGGTGACTACAGTTGATGACACTTTTTATATATTCGAAATTTGCCCGAGAGTAGAACTTAAATGTTCTGACCAAAAAAAAAGATAAATATGTGAAAGTGATGGATGTGTTAGTTAACTAAATGGTGAGGATCCTTTCACAATGTATACATATATCAAACCACCAAGATGTAGACTTTAAATATCTTACAAATTTGTCAATTATGCCTCAATAATTGTAATTATTGTAAAAAATGTAAAAAAAATGTAAAAAAAAACTGGATATATATGGCACATATTAAAAAAGTTATATCCTAAACAGTTAAAATGCTTAAACTGGTGATATTGAAAGATGCAAACCTACAGCTATCTAGAACTTCCCGTATTTAAAATTCACCTGATTCTTAAACTTCAGGAACATCTCATTTACATGTACTAAATTGTTATTTTTACAAATATAATTTTATTTATTTATTTATTTTTCCCCCAAAGCCCCAGCAGATAGTTGTATGTCATAGTTGCACATCCTTCTAGTTGCTGTATGTGGGACGCGGCCTCAGCAAGGCCGGAGAAGCGGTGCGTCGGTGCACGCCCGGGATGTGAACCCAGGCCACCAGCAGCGGAGGGCGCGCACTTAACCGCTAAGCCACGGGGCCGGCCCAATTTTTACAAATATAAATAGATCTGTTTTATCACAAGATAAAGGCCTGATGTCTAGTGAGGCCTCTAGGAGATGAGCTGTTAAGAAACTCTCCTATCTCAGGAGTCCCTCCCTAC